AATTTGTCAACCATAACTAGGAGGTCTTCCACAATGCCTCTAGGGTGTACAACATATCTGTCAGCTAACTATACACTCATCCTAGTATCTTTTGGTTCACCTAGGCCTAGATTCACGAAGATCTTACAAGGAATAACATTGATGTTAGCACCTAATTCCTCCAAGGATCTCTCAACATTCAATTTCCAATAAGACAGGGAAAAGTAAAACTACTTGGGTCTTTCTGTTAGTGTAAGAGCCGGTTTTGCAGAATAGCTGAACAGTCCTCGATGAGCTCCAGAGTGGAGAGTGGATAGATCACTCAACTTCTTCTTTTTGAAAATGAGGTCTTGAAGATGCAGCTTCTTCAGTGGGGTAGGAAAAGGGAGCTGAGGTTTATATTAACCCACTACCGGTTGGGATAGTGGAGACCAAACCTCAAGTTCCTTCTCCTGCATCGGGTCTTTTTCTAGCTCTGGGTGGGCTGCTCCACCTCCTTTGTGTGACTTGGATTCTCTATGTCAGCCACCTTCCCACTCCTCAGTGCAATGGCATGCATACCTTTTTCTGGTTTCTGGGGTTGGGCACAGACTGCCCTAGAAGTATGCTCGCAGGTCGTGATGCAACAACATCGGCAAAGTGTCCAATCTTAGTTTCCATATCCTGCAAAAGCACTTGCTAGTGCCTTTTTCCAGCCTCAAGATCATAAAACTTACAATGGCCACTTCCATAAACTGGTCTATCTTCTTGTACTTCTGGGCACTATTGCTGACAAAGCTAGTCATCAAGTTCTCTAGCTTTGATATCTTGTCCTGTTGTGGCGGAGCAGGTCCTCTTGTCCCATGTTGTTGAGATTGTTGTTGCTGGTGCTAGGTAAACTAGCCATGGCAAGGCTAGTATGGTTGCCTCTGTAGAGGTCACTAACCTAGGGTTCAATCAATCCCTTTTCCTTCGTCCGGTTGAACTCATCGGTAAAATAGTTGTTCTAATATTGTACGTACGTAATAATTAACATCACTATTAACAATTAATGATTATATTTTAATCAACCACTAGCATTAATTATTCTATTGGAGTTCTTTTATTCTTAGTTTTAAATCATGATTAGCAGACGATGTTGAAATTAACCGGGCCGAAGTACAACTTTGAGTTAAACTACCTTGACACAATATGAAAAACAAGAGCTAAACTCCATGAGCTCTATCCTTTCCTCGTAAATTATTTTGAGTTATGCATTAAATACAAATTCAAATGATGATTTTGGAACATTAATCTTGAGAATATCATTATAAAGGCCTAAGTTCAGGTCCTTAAACCCTTTTTTTTAAGGAGGATCTTAAAGCATTGTGATTGGTCGATTCAATATTAGTTAGTTAGTGGGAGTTATTAGTTAATTAGTTGTTAAGGGTATTTAGGAAATTGTAAGTAATATAAAAACTAAAATAATTAACCATAATAATCTATAAACTCGCGTCTTCCTCTAGCCGAACCGTTTGTCTGATGTGCATATTTCGTCAAGAAAGCTTCTCCCTCTCCGTCGTTTCAGCTCTCGACACGGCTCTATGCCCGTCGTTCACCTCCGTTGTTTCCTCTACAACGGTGTCGACCTACTTCTCTCGGTTAGCATCGGCGTTGCTTCCATTTCCGGCAGTGCTCCTCAGCTGCCGGCGTTGACTTACTCTTCAACGGCATCCGTCGTCTTCCTGCAAGACATAGCTTAACTCCGTCGTCGCTTCTGCCCGACGTAGCCTACATCCGGCATCACTCCCGTCCGGCAATGCCTCCCTCCGCAGTGGCTCCCTCTGTTCGCGTCCGGCATAGTCTTTCCTAATTATTACCATTTTCAAGGCCATTAGCAGCATTTCTTGGCCATTGTTAATATTGTTTCAATTTGGCGTTACTAATTGTTTTCATTAGTAACCTCCCTTGACTAGTATTATTATTTTCAGCGCGATTGTCAATATTTTTAAACATGCACTATTATTTGTCATTGGTATCATTAACTAGTACTATTAATCAATTTGTAGTCATTATCAACGTTTCGATGGCCATTATTATTAATTTGATTCGCTACTATCAATATTTTTTAAGTGACTCTTGCTAACATTATGGTTGAATTAACATGTATTATTGATCGGTCACTATGATTATGTTTTCTTTATTATTAATAATATGTATCTCCAATTCTCCATGGAAAGATTAATTATATTCCACTAGTAATGATTCCTTTAAAATTATTAACGATTGTTTTCCTTTAGTATTATTAACCGTGGCGGCGTGGCGCCATTATCAATTTTTTTAAACCGTGGCTCCCTTGATATTCACTAGTATCATTAAGATTAACTATTAATGAGTATGTGGTTATTATCAACATTTTGTTGCCCATTATTAATATTTTCAAGACTATTAGCAATAGTTTTTGAAGCGGGCTCTTACTACCATTATGGATGAATTAACGTATACTATCATTGTGATGCGTGCATTATTAACAATTCTTTTTTCCTTTATTATTAATAATATGCATTTCCATAGCATATAGTTGTCTTATTATTAATATTTTTCCACTAGTAATAATTCTTTTTCTATTGTTAACAATTCTTTTTCACTTATTAACAATTCTTTTTCTTTTAGTATTATCAACCCTGGCACCATTATCAATTTTTTTAAACCATGGCTCCCTTGATTCTTATTAGTATCATTACCGTTAACTGTTAATCAGTACGTGGTCTTTATCAACATTATCTTGCCCATTGTTAATATTTTGAAGGCCATTAACAATAGTTTTCGAAGTGTTACGTGTACGCCCAGTAACCTAGTGTTTGATGGAGCAGATATGGTGACAACACTATATTTGTTATTATTGTAACAACACTAGTCTCCAACCAATAGGAAGCTAGAGTTATGATGACTTTTTATTAGCTTAGTTGACCTAGTGTAAAATCAAAACAGGGGTATAATTGTCATTATGAAAAAATATGTTTAATTAATAATTAAAAAAATAAAAATAAAAAATATTTTTATTTTCTGCCCAAAATTTTGGTCGCCGGAAAATGGTCGTCGATCACCAGAATATGTTTTTTTTGTCGCTGGAATATGCTATTTTTCGCCGGAATATGCTCACCGTGGTCGGAATATGCTCACCGTGGTCGGAATATGCTTACCGGCGTCGGAATCTAGTCATCGGGGCCGGAATATGCCTATCGGCACCGGAATCCGGTCACTGACGGTCATCGGAGTTTGGTCAACGGTTTTCATTGACCGGTCAACGACCACCGGATGTTATGGTCTGCATTGTGAGATTTATGGTTTGGTTTCTCATATTTTTGTATGCCCTTTGTGGTTTGCTTTATCGTGTTTGTGGTTTGCATTAAGAAGTTTCTAGTTTGCTTTATTGTGTTTGTGGTTTGCACTGATAAGTTTTTGGTTTGCTTTCAAAAAATTTGTGTTTTGCATTGAGGGGTTTGTGGTTTGTTTTAGGAGATTTGTGGTATGCATTAGGAGGTTTCTGGTTTGTTTTTGTGGTTTGCTTTAACGTGTTTGTGGTTTGCATTATGAGGTTTCTGGTGTGTTTTTGGAAATTCTGTGGTTTGCTTTGTCAGGTTTCTGGTTTGTTTTAATATATTTTTGGCCTGCATTAGGTCGTTTCTGGTTTGATTTTGTGGTTTGCTTTACGGTGTTTATGGTTTGCGTTATGAGTTTTTTGGTGTGCTTTCAAAATATTTGTGGTTTTATTTCTGGTGTCTCTAGTTTGTTTTAGAGAATTTGTGGTATGCATTAGGAGGTTTCTGGTTTGCTTTTTTGTGGTTTTTTTATCACGTTTGTGGTCTGCATTAGGAGGTTTCTGGTATGTTTATTAAAGACTAGTGATCTGCATACCGATAACTCCTAAATGCATACCACAAACACAATAATAAACTAAAATACATCAAAAAATGCGATTGATATACTGAGCTCTACAATAATTAGGTCAAAACTTACACCCGAGAAACAGAGAGGTTGAAAGTAGAGGAAAAGAACTATAGCAGGCAAGGCCAATGTAGGGCACTCCCCTCGAATTTACCATTGTCGTCGTCGGTAATAGTTAATTAACTATATATATGATTGTTCTCTGTTGTGGCATTTCTTCGAACACATGGTGTGTAATTATGATTTGCTCGGGGTCTCTTTCGAACAGATCGAGAAGGCTTCAGCACACGACCCGGTGCAGAAAAAGATGGTGAGGGAGAAGAAAGAACAGAGGGTTGTCGACTCTTCATCAACTTTGGTCGACAGGGAAGAAGAATGAGAGCCCCGCCTACGAGTGGCGACCTGGAAGAAGCAGAGCGTCGCCTGCGAGTGGCGACCGAGAAGAAGGAAAATAGTGCAGGATTTGGTCCGAGTCCGACTACTATTTTGATGTCATCATCGGCGTTTTCGACACCAGCTGATTTTGACCTTCGGGGAGAGGATGGCGCCGGAGTAGAGAGACAACAGTTGATTTCGATTCGGAATGGGATTTACAGTCGGAGAGAGCGAACAGATTTGAGAAACTGAACGCGATTACGGATCAAGATGAGGCTCTGGTCCCAGGCCAAGGTCGAGGCCAACGACAATTCCTGCCCTTCGGCGTCGGGAGGCGGAGCTGTCCTGGGATCATGCATCCTCGCCCTCCCCCATCCTGTCGCCACCGGTTGCCATGAGCTCTAGACCAGCGCCACCGGTCTCGCCGTCAATAATTCTGTTTCCAGCAAAGGCGAGAATGAATACTGGCGTAGTGGAATGCAGATCGGTGGGAGAGAGGAGGATAAGAGAACAGGGAAGTAACGTGTGGTGTTTAGAATTAGTATTTTTTATTTAATTTTATGTTTTCTGTTGGTTTGACATATTTACCCTTGATGTTACTATAACAACACTTCTTGTGTTGTTATATTATCCGCACCCAGTGTTTGAATAACGTGTACTAATATAACTATGCCAATTGTTAACGTTTATTGTACTATTATTAATAGTTTCCATGCCGGCGGTAGATCAAATACGTCGGGATGGCGAAGGGAAGACGGCTACACAGTTCGCTTTGTCGTCGCGCCGCCGATGAAGCGGGATTATATGGTGGGACGGGGACAAGTTTGGAGACGAAGGGAATATGGCGAGTGGCAGTGAGGTTACTTACGGTGGAAAGTTGGCGAGAAGGTGGGATGACGACGGTGACTCAGCAAGCTACTGTACTCTTCGACGAGAAGACGATGGCAAGTTTGGAGACGAGGGCGATGATGGAAACGATTTTAGGGTTGGGAGGAGAGTTTTTTGAAATTGATAATTAGGATGTTTGTTGTCTTTCTATTTTATTAATAATAACATTAATTGTTATTATATATTCTCGTCTTACCCTTGTAGGTAGTTAGCCAATGATTACTAATGATTTTCTCTCTCCTTCTCCTATTGGCTGAATAGGGTTTAAGATCCTCCTTAAAGAAGGGGCCTTAAGTACCAGATCTGACCTGCATTTTAAATGGTATGTGTCTTTGTGTTATTGAATGATTTACCTTATTAATATGATTATATGTTAGTTTTCATATGGAACTTAAAATCCTATGATTTTACGATTCGGTTTTAGGATTCCGATTTTACCTCAGTTTTCGATTTTAGCTAAAATCCCGATTTTGACTGCTTTGATCTTCCACCATGTGGTTCGTGCTCTCGCACCATTGATAGTACATAACCTGAGACCTGTCTGTGCCTATAACTAGTCCTCCATTACGATCAATCGCGAAATCTATTGAGATGCTCTCGTACGCACTCACCATCCAACCCGTTGAAAACCACCAAGGTCTTTAGCATCTGGATAACATAAGTCTTCACCTTAAAATTTTTTATAGCAACTTCAGGATGTTGAACATTCGATATGAGGTCCTCGAGCCTAGGGGTCAAGAAGTACCCTATGTTCCGTTCCTCTTGTCGCGGTGGAGGGTTGGCTCCATTATTAGGTCTTGGCTTATCCATGTGCAGGTTCTCCACCTGCTTATTGAGCCCTCCATCACTTCTTCAAATCAAGGGGAAGCCTTCATGAAGTCGTCATAAAAGTCCGGAGGGATTCCACTGGAGTATTTTAAGCCCAGATCCACGAAGAAACCCGCGACAACCTTGTAATGGTGCTAGCCGTTGCTGGGCCAAACCCATAAAGTCGAGCCGGAATTCAATATAGGAGTTACTTGTGAGCCAAGCAACCCAAGGGTGGACAAAAACCCTTAGCGGCCTCGACCGCTACTTGACCATTGTTGGCACAGCCCCAAGGAATCTTCGAGAATACGCGTTGGTTTGTCCTCAAGTCAAGCAATCCAAGTCCCATTATTATCAGGAAGCCTTTGGTCGCGTTTTAGGAGGAAAAAATGATGTGATCCTAGATTGTGATCCAAAACCATTTCCATTGATGTTAAAAGAAGAAACCAAGGCAAGGGAAGAAGAAGCTGGAAATTTGGCTAAGTCTGGGAAACAGTTCGTGATACCTACTTTGGAGGCTTACTCGTTTTGTTTGAGAGACATCCAAGGAAAGGTAGGAGTTGGAGATGAAAGTAGAAGTGTTTCTAAGCATCGTGAAGGCGTTGGATAATTGATTTGGAGCTTCTGGAGACCAAAGGAGCAGCCTGAAAATCTTATGGTGACTAGTCAAAATCCACTGTCAGCAAGTCAATTCCACGACCGTGGATTTTGGCCAGGGGAGTTCCACGGCAAGAGAACCAAGTCCACAACCGTGGAATTCAATGGTAGACCGTGGATTTGCAACTAACGAGTTAAAATTACCTTTTTTTGTTTAGGATTTTGTTTCTTTTTGGGTTTTTGGTTATTTTATTTTCCATGGACTTGAGACGCAAATTTTTGGCAGACTTTTGATGAATATTGGTATTTCCTTGGTTCTTTGAGCTTTAGGCTTGAGAATTTTCTACTTTGTATCAATCAAGTTTTCCCTTTGATTGTGGTCGAGCTTCTACCTTTTATATTGATAGCGCCTTCTCCAATCTTGTGTTGAGATTGAACTTTCAATTCCATCCTATCCCAAACCAACAAAACCCCTAAAAATCTATGTTCTAGTTCGTTCTTGAGCCTGTGTTACTTTGATAACTACGGGCGCCGGTTCCGTGCTTGTATCAAAAGATCTATAAACCCTCTTTTTCTTCCACTATGAATAGAGGGTCAGGTTAAGAGATTTGGGAGGCTGCAAACATTCACCAAAATAACTATGTAGAACTCAAGGAATGAGCCACTAGGCTTGGGGGAGGTTGAATTAGCATTCATAGGAGGGTTTAGCTAAGGAGAGGCCTTCATTATCGATGGTGGTACCATCCTTCTTTTCTATGTATTGTTAGTTTAAATTCGTTGTTTTTTTATTCTATTTATACTATAACATCTTCTTTCTTTGATATAAAGAGATGTTTAGTAATTATATATCTATTTATTTCAATGCTTATACCATTAGATGCTTATGTCATGTCACTCTTATGTCATTTGAATGTCTTAGTCTTATGATGCTTTAATCATGCGATGCATTGATCATCTGTTATGTGCTACTATAGTGTTGTTTATAACATCATCATATGTTGCATGGGAAACCCAACTTATGTTATATGTCATTGTCTTAGGCGTGTATGGAATGTAATGATTAACCATCTATACTCGATTATATGTAATGTTTGATACCTTAGATGGAAGTATGGATATACCATTACTTGGTTCCTAGAGGGGATGAATAGTTAATGCCTATCCATACTTCCATAATTGATTGATTAATAATTTAGTGGCATGAAGTGAAAGCACACATTAGCTAGTCATAATTCCTATTGGATGTTGTGAAAACTCGAGTAGGATGACCTTAATGGAAGGAATAGGTATACATGATAGAAGATGCATCGTTGTTTATCATTATTGAGATTTAAATACATTATCATCTAGGATTAGCTTAGCATCTCTAATAGTGATTCTTTTGATACTAATGAAAGATATGATGGAGATATGGTCGATTGAGGATTAGATGACCCCATGTTAGTGATTTTTTTATGTTTACTAAATAATTTGTTTAGTTTTGTACTAACTATGTTGTTTGAGTTGTATTTCAATGATGTTTAGTACTCTTATGTTATGTTTGGATTTGTATGGAACCTTGAATTTAAGATTTTAGACTTTAGTATACTTGTTAGTCAAGTAGTATATGGTAGTAATGTTCTATGTAGAGGTGGCAAATGGATTGGATTGGTCGATATATGGATCAAGTTGATTGGATCAAATGGATTGATGGATTCATGGATTGGATCATATGGATTGGTGGATTGATCCATGGTTCCAAATGGGGATCCGGATACTATAACAACACTCATAGGGGTCGTTTGGATTGAGTATTTGACAAACTTGTTGTTTGGGGTCAATTACCACACAAATACCACATAATATAAAACCTGTTATTTGGTATGTGATATTTGGTCTCAAACTTGTTATTTGGCAAATACCTGCCCCCTCCCAAGTATTTGGCAAACAACACTTTTTGTGTTATTTGGTCTCAAACCTGTTATTTGGCAAAACACTTACATCCAAATAACGCATCTCACTTTTTGTCAGCCAAACATGTTATTTGGGGTCAAATAACACAAAATCTGTTATTTGACCCCAAATAACACCCCCAAATACTCAATCCAAACGACCCCATAGTGTTGTTAGAGTAACAACAGGGGTAAAAACGGAAATTCAAAAAAGTAATAAATTAAAAATTAAATTATTAATTACCCCATTCCGTATCATTCTCTCTCCCCACTCATTCTTCTGGTCAGCTTCTCCCCTACCATATCCCGATCTATTTCCTGACGGGAGCTTCTCCTCCGAGCCGGGAATGCCGCTCTCCACTCCGCTTGATTCCCGAAGACATCAACAACGACCACAATCCCTCCAATAGCGCCAGGAATCGCCGACGATTGGGCCGACGACAAGAATAGAGATTGAATTGCCGACGATGTGTAGCTGCCAGAAAGTGAACGACGCCACTTACATGGACGAGAAGAAGGTCGCATGTCCCTCCTCCTTCCTGTGTTCACTGCCTCGTCAACCGCCGCACACAAGCCGTCGCGCCAATTGTCCACTTAATTGGAGCGCACGATGGAATTCGTGAATCGATTGGTGGAGGAATCGAGTCTCAAATTGTCGGAGGACATCGTGGAAGGGATCGCTCGAGTGATTGCGGACAGCGTGCTTAGGGATTCACGCTTCATCTTCCGGCCGGAGCTCCCGGTGAGGCTAAAAGTCTGTTCTGTTGTACAGCTTCAGCAAGTTAGGAAGTTTGCATAAGGAGGCAGGGCATGTATGGTGATCATGTTAGACTTCAATTAGAGAATCTCATGAATGACACTCTATCAGAATCAAGAACCAATTCCCATCAAGAACCCCTCTGGGACCGTGAGGCAGCGGATGGTTGCAGCGACGGGTCCCCCGAATCAGGATTTCTTTCAGCTTCGCCACTTGTACGATTTCAGGGGAAGATGGCTTCACTAGCTCCCTGGGAACGATCCTGACCTCCATTTTTTTTCTTTTTCGGCGGTTTCTTTCGTCGGAACAGGAAGTTGCTTTCACTGGTTCGGCGTTTGGGAAGTGATTGTTGATGATGAGTTCAGTTTGCTCGCGCCCTTCTTGAAGCTATACTCGTGGCGCATAAAGAGGAAGAAGCCATTAGAATTTAGAAATGGCGATGAGAGGAAGAAGATAGTAAGAACATGTAGTGGGTATTATTATGGTACTTGCAGGATTTGATGGGTGCTGGTGGGGAAGACAGGAAGAGTAAATGACTTGTTTGGTGCTGGTGGGTATTATTATGGTACTTGCAGGATCTAATGGACTCTCCTCACTTGTTTGGTCTGGGCCCGGCTCCCAGAGCCCACGGCGAGATAACTCGGCCTATGAACTTATCCTCTCCTTCCGTTTGATTTAATTTTTGTGAGGCTGGCCGCTGGCCATTAATTCCATTAAGTGAGGACTGAGGAGGTCTGGTTAGACTGTAATTCTTCACTTGGGAGACGAAATGAAAATGTTAAAGTAATGTCAAGTTGTTTGTGGTATTGATTTTCAGATTTTTTTGTACTTATTATGTGAATTTTGGTATGTATTTTCAAGTTATTGGTATGTTTTAGAAGATTTTTGGTAAAACTTTCGATCATTAATATTTATAATAATATTTATAAAACACACTAGAAACCTTCTAATGCATACCATAAATCTTTCGAAACATACCAAAAACATTACAAAGCAGACCAAAAATATTTTTAATCCACTCTATAGACCTCCTAATGTAGACCACAAATTTCCTAAAACATACTAGAAACACCACAAAGCAAACCACAACTATTTCTAAAACACACCAAAAACCTCCTAATGCAAACCACAAATGCGATAAAACAAACCAGAAACTTCTTAATGCAAACCAGAAAGCTCATAATGCCTACCACAAATCTTCTAAAACAAACCACAAACCCCACAATGCAAACCACAACATTTGCGAAAGCACACCAGAAACCTCCTAATGCAAACCACAAACACAGTAAATCAAACCACAAAAAAGCAAAACATAAACGTCCCAGTGCAGACCACAAATATATTAAAACAAACCAGAAACATCAGAATGCAAACCACAAAGTTTTTGAAAGCAAACCAGAAACTTCTTAATGCAAACCACAAACACGATAAAGCAAACCACAAAAGACATACAAAAATATGAGAAACCAAACCATAAATCTCATAATGCAGACCATAACATCCGGTGGTCGTTGGCCGTTGACTGTTGACCGGTCAACGAAGTTTGTTGACCAAACTCCGATGACCGTCAGTGACCGGATTCCGGCGCCGATAAGCATATTCCGGCCCCGGTGACTAGGTTCCGATGTCGGTAAGCATATTCCGACGCCGGTAAGCATATTCCGGCGACGCTTAACATATTCCGATGACAAAATAGCATATTCCGGCGACAAAAAACATATTCCGGTGACCGACGAACATATTCCGGCGACCGATGTCCGAATTCCGGCGACCAAAAATTTTGGGCCGAAACTAAAAAAATATTTTTATTTTTATTTTATTATTTAAATATATTTTTCATAATGACAATTATACCCCTGCTTTGATTTTACACTAGGTCAACTCATCTAATAAAAAGTCATCACAATCCTTGATTCCTATTGGTTGGAGGCTAGTGTTGTTACAATAACAACACAAGGGTGTTGTCACATTCAAGTCTTGGACAACAATGTAAATTTGAAAACTTTAGGTACTAAAATGTCATAATAAAATCTTTAGGTACCAAAATGTAATTTTCCAATAGCTTTTTTGTACAAAAATACATTTTAGGTACCAAAATATAAAATATATAAAAGTATAGGTACTAAATCATAATTTGTCATTTGGATCCATGAATCAATCCATAAATTCACCAATTCAATTGAATTATGATCATATGAATTGAATTAATTAAATATTTAACTAGATATATTGAATTGGATTGGGAATTATCAGCTAGTTCTATCCCTCGTCCATTCATTTGACCCTCTTTTTGTGCTGAAAAGTGAAAATGGTAGAAAATATCAGCTAGTTCTATCCCTCATCCATTCATTTGACCCTCTTTTTGTGCTGAAAAGTGAAAATGGTAGAAAACAGGGCAACGAAAAAAGCAAGTAGAACCACTAAAAGAAAAAAAAAACAACAAGTAGAGAGAACGGGAAAGGGCGGTGAAAAGGGAAGTTTTTGATTTTTGACAGTTGAGGTTGGGGAAACCTGGCTCACCCAACCCGACTCAACCCATCTGGTTACTGGTAGCAGGCATAGTGAGTGGACTTTTTTCTTTCCCGTATTGCTATTTCCTTCTTCCATTGCTTTAGTTGCTGTTACTTTCTTGCTTTCAAGATAAATTGTTGCAGAATTATTAGAGAGAGACAGAGAGAAAGAGAGAGAAACAGACAGAGAGAAAGAGTGAGGGAGAGAGAGACGAGCGATTTTGCGAGCAATATGCAATAGAGGGGAAATTTTGACAAGAGGTTCGGATGGGTTGCCTCAGATCCAGGCAACTATGGTGTTAATAATGTCAAAAAAGGGTAACCATACCATCCTCTTTTTGTTAATAAATGTCGTCTTGTGATTCCTGTGACTTCACTTGTGCTTTCCTTCTCCTTTCTCATGACCCATTTTATCTGTTCATTTATCTGGGTTCAAAGTTGTGGATGATGGGTCGCTTCCGTTTTTTCGATTGATTTCTTGATTCTTGGGGAAGTTGCAATTTCTTTCTTTTGTAAATTCCTTTTCCTCGTGGTTTTCAAGTTTCTATTTTCTCTGGTCCTTTATTGTTGATGGAAGTTCACAGAGAAGAGTCCAGAGAAGAAGTTGATGAGGCCTCTACTACTGGGTCTATTAGGTGGAAAGTTCGCCCTCCATTTTAGTTGACCAGATCTGCCTTGCCTTGTCTTTTTCTGCAATTTCTGATTCTGGTAAGGCATGGGAAATGGTCTGCTGAAATCCACTACCATTCACATTCTGGAATCATTCTCGGTAATTGGAGTAGCTATTTTGGTTCAATAAAAGAAAATAATGATGATTTCACTCGGCCTGAGAGGTAACTATCTGTACTTGCTGCTGGATAGGGCTTTTGATGGAGGGGATGTATACGGCGGTGTTAGTGCCACTTACAGTAGCTAATTTAGCCTTCGAAAACACAAGTTTGGAGACCCACTTGGATATCTCAAGGCAGAGGAAGTGTATGGCTGAAGCAGCTAAACAACAACCTGATCGTCCTGAAACCGAAGTCTCTACTTTTGTTAGGGATAACAACTATAATTGTGGTGACTTGGCTAAAGAAGTTGTTGACGGAGTAGTGTTGGTTCCAAAGCAAGCGGAGGGAGGAGGTGGGGAGGGCTTGTTGGATATGATATCTGAGGAGGAGGACAAGAGCAATTGGGTCTCTGGGATTGAAGATGGTGAAGAAGATGATTCCTTGTCGCTAGAAGGTGATCAGAATCTTGAACTTGTTAGTTCTTGTTCCCTCTCGGTAACTAGTGAGACTAGTAGCTTATTTGGGGAAGAATTCTTGAATTTTGAGGCCAACTCTGAGTTTGGAACAAGTAGTAATTCAATAGAGGTTATTGACCAGAGCATCTGTGGTGTTGATATTAGCTATACTGCTACAGATTTGGAGGAGTCAAGTATTGTGTCTCAAAATTCCCTATCTGTTGCAGTGAGCCATGCAGAAGAAGTTATTACTACATCTTGTTCAAATTCAAAGCCTGTTCCTTCTGTTGTAATTCAGTTGGCACTGGAGAAAGAGGCTCGTGGAGCAGCCATTGCTCGTAGTGTCTTTGAGTTGGACTATGTCCCCCTCTGGGGTTTTACATCTGTGTGTGGAAGAAGACCGGAGATGGAGGATGCAGTAGCAACTGTCCCTCAGTTTCTGAAAATACCTATCCAAATGCTAATTGGTAACCAATTGCTGGATGGCATGAGCAAGTGTATAACCCATCAGACTGCTCATTTTTTTGGAGTCTATGATGGTCATGGAGGGTCGCAGGTAGGCACATGTCTTCTACTTATATCTCTAATTTTTGTCCTTCATTAAAATGTTTCCTTGCGTCCTTGGCATGCCATTATTTTCTATTCTCAAAGTTAAAGCAAGCTTTTGGGGGGTTTGCCCCTGCAGGTTGCAAACTACTGTCGTGAACGTGTCCATACTGCATTGGCTGAGGAGATTGGGTTTGTTGAGAACTGTTGTTGTGTGACTGATGGTTGCCTAGAGCAGTGGAGAAAAGCTTTCACCAATTGTTTTTTAAAGGTTGATGCTGAAATTGGTGGAACAGAAGGCAATGCTGATGAACCAGTTGCACCAGAAACTGTTGGTTCTACTGCCGTTGTCTCTGTTATTTGCTCCTCCCATATTATAGTAGCTAATTGTGGAGATTCAAGAGCTGTCCTGTGTCGTGGGAAAGAACCTATTGCATTATCAGTGGATCATAAAGTGAGAAGAAACCTGCAAAATAGTACCATAAAACTCCTGTGAAGCTGTCTATAGTTACTTGACTTGTTGAAGCTCATCTTTTTAGTTGGTTGGTTTGTCTTATGATTATTTCAGCCAAATAGAGAAGATGAATATGCAAGGATAGAAGCAGCTGGAGGCAAGGTCATACAATGGAATGGGCATCGTGTCTTTGGTGTTCTTGCAATGTCGAGGTCCATTGGTATGCTCTTCTTGACACTGAATTTCATTTCTTGTCCTTTTTTTGGTTGTCAAAGCCTTTCAATCCCTTGATGTAACAGCCAACGGCTATCTAGATTACCAGTTAAAAGTTGACAGTTAGTTAGTGCAGCATCTGTTAATAGCCAGAGCATTTGACCAATTATAGCTCTGTTATTTTTGAAACAATAGAAACACTTCCGTGTATTTTAGGGTTACATTGGTTGAGCAGAGGGCTCAAACACTGAACTTGATCAATCTGGAATTGGTGTTGCAGGTGATAGATATCTGAAACCATGGATTATTCCTGAACCAGAAGTAATGTTCATTCCACGAGCCAAAGAGGATGAATGCCTTATTCTGGCAAGTGATGGTTTATGGGACGTAATGTCAAATGAGGAAGCTTGTGATCTCGCTCGGAGAAGAATTCTCGTCTGGCACAAGAAGAATGGTCAGGTAGCTGGTGCTGCACCTTCCTCCTCTCCTACAGTGAAAGGGCCGGAGGGGGTTGATCTTGCGTCTCAGGCAGCAGCAGAGTACCTGTCAAACAGGGCTATTCAGAAAGGTAGCAAGGACAATATCACGGTGATTGTGGTGGATCTGAAAGCTCAAAGGAAGTTCAAGACGAAAACGTGACATTGGCACAAGAATCTCACTCGGTCAAGCTCAGCTCCTTAGATGGAAGGAGACTTGTTCTATAACATGGTTGGTGGTGGTCCTTATTATTTTGCCCATCTGTTTTTGTCCGACTCGTGGGCGTTTACAGGTAGAAGGCAGAGGCAAACACTTTGGAGACTTGTGAGTGAGCTTTTGGCTTTCTTCTTTGTGTAAATGGTACGTTATATATGGGAGTAGGAGTGCAGGAAGGCAGGCATATTATTACTGTAGGGGGATGAGAGCTGCGCGTGCTATAGTTCCTTTGACATTTAATTAGTTTGTATTCATTTTGTATTGTATTGTATTCCTCCGGGTTGAACTGGCCCAGCGAGGGTGTCGTTACCACTTGTCTGATCTCATTATAATTGAAAAACAACCACCTGTCTGTTAACGTGTGTGTATAACCTTCACAGTCTGTTTTTACAAGTATTATGTGTATTTTTACAAGTATATGGCCAAGTTTAGCAAATTGATCGGTGCTAACTTGCAATGTAAATTGCATTTCGCTGGGTAGTACCGTACCTACCTCTTCAAATATAGTTTGTAACTTCCAAGAACTGTTCTTCCAGCGAAATACCAGGGAACTGTTCTAAAAGGATTGCTTGGCATCCGGCCACTGATATGAATACATAACCATCTGTTTGTCTGGCACCAACCCTCGGAGTGTGGAACACAACGTCATAGCAGTCACACAAAATAAAGCATATCATCTGAGAGTATTTAATCCGAAACTTTTGCGTGAAAAAACAATTGACAATTGAAGCGGGAGTTTGTGCTCATGTAAAGCGAGCAAGAGTTGGAGTCAGCAGGCGCAACAAAGCACAAACACCTTAGTATTTCCTGTAGGCCAATTCTGTCACAGCCTCCGCAAGTTGTTTCTCATTCCTTATGCTCTCCGCCCATTTCGCTTTGATATGGACCCGTTCGATGCTTTGCTTCAATGTTCTAGCTATGGAAGGCCTTGTACGAGAACTAAAAAACTCCTCCACCTCCTTTGCCTTGTCGAAGGAAGCAAACTGTACATACCACCCAGGCACAAAAGAAGAAAGTTCATCTGGTGCCAATTAGTGAAGCATTATACCACAAATAAACAAAAACGACAAGACAGTGCCCATTACCGGTGAGACGATAGCAGAGACAAAGCGAGTCAATAAAAAACCTGAACCCCAGGTTTTGGAGATGTGCTCCCAGTTCTCCTGCATTACAGTAGGAAGGCAGAATGAGTAAATATAAAAAGATGATGGAGAAGCCATGAGAATTTAGTCATTGAATTATTGATTAAGCCGCGGAGCTCTCTTCATGTGCTTGCTTGTTGGTCATACTAAATACCTTCAGCCACTCCCAAGCTGTTTCCCGTCCGTCCTTGCTAACAGCAAGTCCGAAAACAACATCCTGGCTGCGAACCTAGTTTAAACAGAAAGCAGGAAACAAAAAGCAAAAGATAAAGAATGCAGCAGAATCAGCAAGTCTTTCTTTCTCACTCTTTGATCAAATATTGATATTTCATTAGGGGGAAGATCCGGGGTATGTCAAACTCATACCTCAGGTGTTAACAAGAAGTTCAGAACTTCCAAAACTATATTAGGATCGGGACAAGATGATAATGATCCTGCAATACAAGCAGTGTATCAGTGGAAAGAAGCAACCTACAGACTGAGATATCTCACATACTGACATCGGAAAGCAGGAATAGTTACCTAGAATGCGTGTTTTCTCCTGGCTCAAATCAGTTTCTCTGTAAACTTTCAGTAGAGATTCAAAACCCCACTTGTTAGAAGTGTTAACCCTCTGCATTACAGCTACATATGCTGCCTGTAACCAAACACTAGCATTAATAAGCTTCACGTTTTCCAGAAGCCAAAAATAAGAAAAGATACATTGGTTTTATTTCTCTTACCCTTCTAACATCAGGAGGCAGGAGTGGTGTATTTCGGTCGTCCAAGAATGCTTGGAATCGCCTTATTGCTTCATCTATAGTTGGATCATGTCCAAACACAGCTAAGGCAGTCATAAGTTCTCCCCGCAACATAGAGTCCAGATGGCTTTCACCTTGTTTAGCATCCCAACCAAGCTTCCTGGCAGGGAAATCACAACTCTTGGAGATAAATGGTATTTACTGTTTGGACACAATGCCCTAATTCTAGTTGCTTTAGTCTACATATAAAAATCTACTTCTACAAATTATATCTAAACTTTAAGGGAAGGAAGATGCCTGCAATTTCATCAGTTTCTATGTTTCGGAAAGTTCAGATCTAGAAATAATAAAAGCTTATCGACACTTTTTTTTTAAATATTTCAAAATACGCATTTGCTTCTCAAATGTATCACACAAGATTTTCAATGCCCCTAATTTTAAGAAACAGAAAATGCTCATTAGAAGTGAATACCACTAAGGGTTATAAGATCAGTGGATCGGGGTTAGGGAAATTATTGCTAGCATAATAACCTCTTTGGGAAACATAGATATCATCTATCTTCAACATCCACTAAGTTTCAGCCAAGCTGACCTTAACAATAAACAGCAACCAGGTTGTCTAGCAAGGACAATTGCCCCATGAGGACTCACTTTGCTGTAAGACAAGGATAAACTTCCTCATGCATCAACCTTATAATATCTACTTTCACCAAAAGAAAAACACAAAATTTCTTCCTAGCTGCCAGGGGCATATCAAGATATATGGAAAAAAGCAAGGAGAAATGTCTCACAAGTAAACTACAAAACAAATACAGAATCAGAGTGGACAAACATAAAATTCGTCACCCACTTTGACATTGAAAACTAGGCTCATCAAAAATCTTTCCTTCTTTCGGTAGTTAAAATATTTTTCTTTTTCTCTTGACTAGTAAGCTTTTAATAAGTCTAAGGAGTTGTGTTGGAGGTGATTTCAAGCGATGTATTTAGCCAATGCATGTAATGTCAAGATTAAGTCTTTTTTTTGTTAAATTTGTGACAACATACATGTATTACCTTTTTTCTGGGTTCACCAATAATTACTCAAAATGAGTGATTATCAATCTCTACCAAAAGGTGTGATTGTGACCAAGGAATTGTCTACCCTCTATTTTTTTCATTTATAACAAAGCACAATGTAAACATCCAAACAATGTATTTTTCAAATTCATACATTTCACCAATACATCAATTTATAGTACACAAATTGATTAAATACTTTAATTTGGAGAATCCCAACCTCCAAACAACCCCTAAGTCCTGAAAACCCAATCTTCCAATAGAAATCCAATCCAAGTAAAATGGAAGAATCATAAATCTAAAAGAAAAATGGCAACAGACTACAAAATCATTAATCTAAGATCGAATAGCGCAAAAGGCTAGAAATCAGCAACACTATATAAACATCACTAGTGACTATCATTTATTCGGCTTTCATACTCTAAACTAAAATCTGGTTGACTCACAACACAAACTGCAACATAAAGCAACCTAGTAGCAAGAGATTAAGATAAGCACAGTTCTCTATTTAAAAGGTGAATCTCTGAGAAATCTTACTCTGCAGAATACTGGAAAAGGTTAATGAAAAAATGCTTAAACTCCTTCAGCAATTCAGGGGTAGCATCAGCTGCAATTCTTCCAAGTGTGGAGCTTATCTATGAACAGAATGGACCCAGATTAAGACTTAAATAACAAAAACAAAACACCAACAAAATACCAGCATTAGCACAAAATAATAGGGAGAAATTACATGAATCAAGTTGGAAAGGACGGTATACTCGAGTTCCTCCGAGTAAGCACTCATCAGGGTAAGCAAAGATGTTAAAGGCTGATGACGAGCCATGCAAAGGGCAAATGCGTCATCCAAGATGCCTGAAAATGTAGACATTAACTTCTTTCAAGCATCACTTGGCAAAAGTAGTAACAAGAAGACAATAAGCACCAGCCAACATACCAAATCTATCTGTTTCATTCAAGCACTTCTTCCCAATGGCATGTCTAAGTCTAGCTGCAAGATCATCGTCATATTTGACTCTATAGAAACCACTCTGATCCACATTAATTTTCAACCAACGACTTTTGTCATCCAAAATGCTGAAACCCAACAATTCCTTGACATCAATGGTTTCAGAATTTCCTTGTAGTAAGAAGTTCTTGCGTGAATCATATGTGCCAGAGCACAAAGTTATTGGGACTATCCATTGTCCATCTCCATGCGAACCACTTGACAAAAATTGCGTCTGCAGTTTATAACATGCGCCATAAGATAATTGGGAACACAAAATGTCAGTAACTGAAGAGAATGAAATGGTAGCTCATTCACATCCACTTAGCCAGCATGATTGTCAAAGAGATAACATAAGCAACCTGTTTGAAATCCAATTTCTGATCCTTGATATTCACAGCTACAACTGGATACCCTTTTTGGCTTGTCCATGAATTCATCAGCTTTGTCACAGGTTCTCCAGAACCCTCCTCAAGAGCAGCCCATAAGTCCTCTGTTTTTGCATTTGAGTAGGCATGCTTTTTTATGTATGCAGCAAGGGATTTCTGGTTGTGCAATAAAAGATAAGAGTGTAACTGGTCCAGGGTTTTTTCTTCTTCAAAAAACCAATGTTTGGTCGTTCGAAGCTGAACCCAAATAAGGGTGAATGTAACATTTTAAGACATGAAAACAACATAAACTATTTTTCATTCGTTAACTGACATAGATAACCCCAAAAATAATAATGCAGCACTACTTATATAAAGTTCCTTCACTACAAGTCTCTGCTTGGTGATGGTAATATTCAGGTAATTCCTTGTGCTACTACAGATTAAGAAATTCCTTCCAATTGTCATTTACATCTAGTTTTAATTTGGAATCATAGTTAGCAAGCAAACTCACATGATTAATGAATTTACCACACATAGGGTATTCCTTGAACAGATGAAAACTAAATTTCAAAAAAGAAACAAACCAGACAAGTAACTTTTTAACACTAAAGTCAAACTAATAACCTGAAAAGGTTCAGCACCAAGATAGCTCTGTAGCATCCGGATAACAGAGGCACCCTTCCTGTAGCTTATTGCATCAAATATCTCATCAATTTCAGAAGCATGATTGATCTCCACCTGGACCAAAAAAACTTATTGAGGGAGAAGTTTTAGCTGTTAGAGGCATCCTTAATGTGTTGAGTTTGACCCTACCTCAATCGGATGAGATTCTGCAAGGCCATCTAACTTAAGACCTTCAACAGTTTCATCAAGAAATTGAGTCCATATTTTCCATTCTGGGAACAAACTGTCAGTCGCCAGGTAACTCACCTGAAGTCAAAATGAGAAATTTAGTAAATTACACAAGGTAGCAAAAGCAGAGATATCAAACACATGAAGCACAGAAGCAGTATTGGGAATCAAAGAGACATACCCATGTTGCAAAACCTTCATTTAGCCACAAATGAGTCCACCATTCCATTGTTACTAGATTGCCAAACCACTGGTGTGCCAGTTCATGTGCAACAACAGTAGCAACCTTTAAGAAACAACAAAATTTATAAGGATCTCAAGAATCTAGTCAGTATTGAGCCTTCAGATTCTAAAAAACAACAAAAGGAATCTTGAAAACTTGACACACCCTTTGCTTGTTAGCAGCAGCAGAATGTTTATCATCATAAAGCAAGGCTGTCTCTCGATAAGTGACCAGCCCATAATTCTCCATTGCTCCAGCCGCAAAGTCAGGGATAGCAATCATATCCAGCTTTGGGAGTGGATACGGAGTGGCAAAGTACCTACAAAATATTTAGATAGCAATTGGTAAAACAGATAATACTACCAAAGCAGCTCTCACAAATAGCTAGTATGCCTACACTGCATATAATCTCTGTCTAACGACAAAGGAGGAGAAATGAAAATTACTGATGGGGCAGTGACAAACATACTCTTTGTATAATTCAAGAGTCTTCACAGCAACATCCAATGCAAATTTCCCTTGATTAGCCTTCCCAACTTGACAATACACCCGAACTTTGACCCCTGCACCAATTGATGAGATAGGAGAGAAAAGAATAGCTCAGCACTCCGGTCAACCCTGGTCAAAATACAATAAGAACAGGACCGCTCTGTACCATCAGACGTGTGGTTTTCGACATAATCAAATAGCCCCACAACAACTGCAACCAAGTATGTCGACATTATAGGTGTTTCCTGATATGAAACCGTCTTCAAAGCTCCATTTATTTTCTCCTCGGTGATTGGCATATTGGAAAGAGCAACCAGCTCAGAGGGAGCAACCAATGTAATCTTGAATGAAGCCTGTAAAACAACTACTCCATGAATAGAACAAACTAAATGCATAACCTTGCTATGCAACAATATCAACATGCTTTGAAGGGTATTACAGCTACATTAGTTAATTAATTTGGCATAGCTTCTTAATCAATTGAAACATTCGGATTATTGCAAGTGTTATTAGAAGCACACCAAAATAGAACCACATGCACAGCATAAAGCACGAAGGTAGTGGGAGTGAGTTTGACAAACCTTGCATGCAGGTTCGTCCCAACATGGGAAGCACCTCCTAGCATCTGCAGGCTCAAACTGCGTAACTGCCATGTTCTTCTTCACGCCATTAATCTCATAGGTACTGCACATCAAGAGTCACCAGCAATGAAATTGAAGGGAAAGGAGAAGGAACTCTGACTCCCAAGGTACAGTCGAAAACGAGACACTGCTTCCAGAATCTGTTCATAAGAATTTAAATCGAGGACTAAAACTTTTACCTTCTATAGAACCCCTTCATCTTATCATTCAGAACACCTTCAAATTCCATGGCGAGGACTCCGACACCGTGAGGAAGTAAATCCGGAAACTCCAGCACGAGTATCTCATCCGCTTCCATCAATTCGACTTTAATCGCCTTAAAAACCTGCTCAGCAGTCGAACATAAGTAAGCAAGATTGCTGCTCTACCATCGTCTACATTCACAACAGCGACCGAGATAGCAAAAAATCCTAGAGGAACAAATACCTTGGAAGAAGCTTTCTGCGTGAAAGAGACGGAGCCGGAGGCAATGGAGAGCTCCGCGGCATTTAGGACAACGAACTTGGTGTCGGAGACGATATCAAGATCGACGGCGACCGAGCCACCGAACTTGCAGTCGGAGAGGTTCGGCTTGAGAAGGATGTCATAGCGTTTGGGAACGGCGAATTTTGGAAGGCGGGGCTGGCCTTTGAAATGATCCATTCGATTTTGTTCAACTGCTTGTGTGATCGATTGAAAATTATTCAAACGCTCTGCGATACCAAGAAGAAAAGGTAGGGAGAAGAAAGAGAACAATCCGCTTACCCCTCTCGACCAGCGTGGTGGAAGAGATATTAGGTTTGCTTTTTCCAAGGTTGTTAAAGCCGGGTTAAGTTATCAAGTCGGCTTCGGAAGGGATTTGAGGAAGGTTGTCAACCCGCGGGTTGACCCGGGCCCAGTTGAGATAGTGGGTTAAGGGTTAATGGGTCATCCGTTTTATCCCGGTTTAGCCCGAAAATTTGGAAAGCGTCACTATATTGTACTTTTCCTGCTAAATTATATCAAATCTCATCTAACATATGAGTTATAACATATAATATTACACCAAAATAACATGTCGTACTTAGATTCAACATATAATAAAAATTCACACACACTTATATAACATTAATATTCAAATGTTCAACTTAGGATTCCAAAGTTTAAGTTATGCGAAAAGAAAAATCGGAAAATAGGCGCATTTCGCAAAACATAGAAAAAAATGACACAATTTGACCTCCAACCCGGTACCTTGTAGCGGTCGACCCAGTGGGTGCGTGCGGCCCGTTTTTCTCACCGGGTCAGGGTTAAAGTGGGTCAACCCGCGGGTCGACCCACGGGTTGACAACCTTGGATTTGAGGTTCAATGATTAGATCGGAGTTCAATCGGGTAAGCTGGTTTTGTATGATACTAATTAAAATTAAAGACCTATACCACTAGAAAATTCGTACCATTAAAAATTAGCTTGTTGTCCGACCAGTTGGTCGGAATGTCATTAAATACAATATATGTATAATGTGTATTTAAAATTGAAGACCTATACCACTAGAGGAGACTATGCGTATATGCCTCTGAAGCTTTGAGCCACGATGAGATCGTATGTGCGAGTGTTCTCATTTGTAGATTCCATTATAGACTTGTTGGTTAGAGACAATCAAGGATATGCAAACCTTGCTTGTACCACAACTCAGTTTGTTTCGTTGTAACGATTTAGAATACTGGTTTGGTGTTGTTTAATTCATGTTGAGAACAGGTTTCCTTAATCTGATTTAAGGTATCTTAAATCTTAGCCCTCTTTGTGTCTGCAGATGTTTAATTCCTAAGATTAGTATGTGGTGGCAGCCGAGCTCATACGGGAGCTACCGTAAGCCGGAACCTGAACTGCCCTGATGCAACTTCAATTCTAGCAACTTGCAACTATAATGTTTTTCCTATGTAATTTCCTTTATTCAATAAAATGGTCTCATCCTTTAAAAACTAAAATCTCGCGATAACTGAAATTTCCAGCGTATCCAATGATACTATGCACTGGGGATCGGGGCTTGATAATAAGTACTGGAGGTTTATAGTGAAATAATGTGGCACATTTGTTCGCTAATTTCTTTCCTAATTCTCGGTGTGTTTTGTTTGATCGGGATGATATTTCTCAAGCCGTGTCTCTCTCTTTGGTCTTTTAACGAGAGCTTACGCAGTTGATTCCTCAAAGAAAAGAAGAAAAAAAACTTCAGCATTCGAACCCTGCATGCCATGACTGAAAACTGAATCACGGACTAGCACCTTGGCAACTTAGGCTATGTAGTTGATTTGATAAATGTGACATTTTTATAGTTCACATACTTAATAGTTAATAAGAGAATCACGAGTTAATAAAACAAGATATATCCCGTTCTTCAAAAAAGGTATGTAGCATTAATTGTTATGTACAAAGGCGTTGTTTCCTGTCAGTACGCTGAACTTCTTATTTCACTCATCAAACTATGTGACAATAAGTTTTTTAATTTCATCCTCTTTAAGAAATTTTACTAAATAGTAAGTCGTATTTGTTCATCCACGTTGAAGGGTAGCTTATGTAAATTTGATATTAGTAAGAGATTAGGTTTTTATGGGTGTAGGGGAAAAATCGATGAATCATTGCCGATGGATTGTGATCCATTGATGAAACCATTGCGTGCAAAAGGGGAGAAGCAAACGGTTTGTAACAATTAAATATAGGTAGAAGTACAAGAGATTTGATACTAATGTGTTTGGTAAGTAAGCAGACTACATGTACATCCATCAAGAAACGGTAATGGTGTAGGACAAGGAAGTGTAACCTGAAACATGAACTATGGCCATATAATCAAACAAACTTAATACAAGAATCGCATATTAATAGAGCATGAAACCAATATGAGGTTGTAAAATATAACTAGTATCCCTACGTACTATGTAACTCTTGGTACTCTTAGTAGTAATCACTATGTGGTACATTAAGCGTTTAATTTCTAGTTTATACAGAAATATACCTAAACTACTCCATGGCGAAAGATAGTGTTAATAAATTTTAAATAAGTAATCTATTACATATTGATGGGTACATCAAGTAAAATGCGATTTATTTTTAGATAAGTCATGGGGGACATTTGGTGAGCAAATTAAGTAATCATTACGTAACAATGGGGCCAACACATATGGTTCAAAGGAATTAAAAATCCATTGAATTACAATCACTCTGATCCCAATATTTCTACTACGTAGGCGGCCTACGAATACAAGTTTATCAAGAAAAGTAATAGGGGACAACGAAGAAGCTGACCAAAGATCTTGAGTTTTTTAATAAATGGATATTGCCTCGTAAAAGATCCGAACATGTAGTGTGGGTGTTGGATGAGTTGCGTGTGGAGAGCTATCAGAGACAAAGCTAGCTTGTTATTATAGGGGCCATGTCCCCTAAATAATTAAATATGTTTGTGCATTAACATAGACATGTATTACTGCAGTCCATTGAGAAATGGATAAGGGTGTCACCTGTCGAGGGAGGCTAATGGTGCGGCACACATCATCGCTCACATAGAGACTTGTGTTGACGAGAGAGTTGTGTGGTTGGATAGCCCGCCAGTCTATTTAGTTGATAAGCTGAAACTGGATGATGTTCCATTGATTTCTAATTAATACATTTTTTCTTTGAATATTAATACAAATTTCCAGGTTCACATAAAAAATAGAAAAAAGAGATGATATATATAATTTTATTAAAGGCCAATATTATATTCCAAATTAATTTATCTTTTGATATTTTCGAACTTAATTAAGTTGGTTTCTGAAATTGAAAAGAACTTTTCATATAAACTTCCCTCCATTTTATTGTTTCAAATGAAAAAAAAATTTAAAACTTCAAAATTTCCCTCTATTTTTTAATTTTCGTTGTTTTTTCTTTCCGCCAAAATACGGCGCCCATTCTCCTCAGAACCCGCTATTCCCACCACTGGAAAATTATCTCCATAGAACCTGCATCCACTACCAATAAGCATTGGCGGTCATCTGGTTTTTGACAACGGTTACACATTTATCGACGCCCATGGGTTTTGCGGCTTCTGTGGGCGGAGGTGATAGCGGTTACACATTTCTTGGACGACGATCTTTCCTATGCCCTAAATACCGATGTGTCCCTTGCCCTCATCTCCAGTAGCTCCTCCGACGATTCCCTACGCTCAATCGACCTTTCGCGCTCAAGGTCGTACTCATACACTGGGCTTTTGAGCCTGGTTTTTACTTGACCAATGCCACCCAGCTCAAGGACGACTTCCCCTCCTTGGTTCCATCACTTGTGTTTGCACTGAATTTAGTTATGCAACTTGTTTTTTGGGTTTTGACTACCATGATTTTAGATTTTTAAGTGGTGTACAAAGTGCTGGATCATGCCCTTTTTCATTCTAGCAATGGAAGATTGATACCTTCTAAGCTTCAGGTAAGTATGTTCACCATCTAAATCCATGGAAGGAAGTGTGTAGTACCTTCTATTTGTTAATCATGATCTACGTGGGGGTTGTTTTCTTTTTATAAGTGAATGGTGATAATGTGCTGCCATAGAGGTGGAAACATTTTGTTTCTTGACTCAGATCTCTTACTGCTTAGCTGGTGCACTATCTCTAAATGTTCAGTGTTTCTTCTTCCCTTGCTATTTTGCTAACATGAAGCATTTGACCTGACATTACAGTCAATGTGGGAGGATATGAAGACTGGGTCAAAGTGGGTCACAGTCAATAGGTGTTATTTGTGGGAGGACTTACCTGAGGGTGTAGGCCAACCATTTTCTCCCGAAAGTAATGAGGTAAACTGTTTACATACTTAACTAATTATATAAATGTTGTTCAGAACTTTAATTTTGCATACTGATTCACTGGTGAATGGACCTACTTAGTGGTTAGCTGCACCAAAAAGATAACTTACTGATGGATGATTTCAAGATTCAGCTAGGGTGTTCTCTTACTAGCTTGGCTGGAAACTATTCCTGTACAGCATGCCCGACCTTGGTGTAGCTGTTATGCCGTGCTCTATGCTAGGTGTATGATTCCAACCATGAGATTAGTGTGATGGCTGGGTTGATTCAAGGCTCATGTAAAGTTCTGCCTCCTGTCACCTATAAAGAAGAGGCTGAAAGACGGAGCCAATTGGTAGCAGAGATAAACAACAAATCAGAACCATTTTTTCTATGCAAGTACGTGTATTTATCTACTATAGTTCTGTATTCGTCCTTCTAACTGCTTAAGATCTGGTTGATATGTTATGCATGCTTTATAACATGCTAGAATGCCCATGTGTGGTCTTGATGGTTTACTTAGCTTCATCGTACTTTACACATGGGTTTTGTTGAATGTTAGTTTTTGCAGTTACTGAAACTTTCTTTTTCTTCTCATGTACATTACTTCTAATGTCTTCTGAGTTGTGAGTCAATAATCGATACCACTAGGCAAATTATGGGGGGGATTATTCCAAGGAATAATGCGAATACATCTTGATTGCTATTTGAGGGACTGAAATTATACTTCCCTTTAATCTGGACCAGTTTTATTTTTGGCAAAATGGAATACCTTACTGACTGATGATCCTTAAAGCGATTAAAAGCCTTGTATCAGCTCAACTTTGCTAAAGAAATTATCAATCATACTATAGAGCTATATAGAAGTTTAGGAGCATGCTGCAGTGTTGCATGTATAAAACTCCCATCTCTAACTCTGCACTGTAACACCTAAAAGAATCTTGCATGAAGATTGTGGAATTTTGCAGTAGATAAAATATATATGTTTTTATGTCTCAGGTGCAGTAATTAAAGTGGCTTCTATTGATGTTTAAGTATCTTTTTCACTTTACAGTTAAGCTATGGGCATGTATCCGAATGCCACAGGAACTGAAAGTTCTCCTTGGCTTTCGTGATCTGTTTTTGTTATATATGTTGCTCCATATTGTTAGGCCATTGGAAGAGTGAATTTTAACTTGAATAATGGAGACCCTCTTGTTCTAGATTCCTGAATAAGGCCGTTTGCTGGAGCTGTATGCAAACTCAACTATTGTGTGGCAAGAACAGAATAAAATAATTGCACTATCATGTGGCAAGAGGGTCTTGGTCACTAGATGAATCAGGATATGCATCTATTAGTCGTCCAAATCGATAATTTGTGTGGGTGATATAGGTCTGTGTGGCAAGAACAATCTTATCGCTCGTTGGAGTCGAGCATTCAGCTGACGCGCTGGTATCATCTGATGTGGTTGCAGGTGGTTTTTCGATAAACTCAGAGGAAGCTTTCAACTTGTTTTCAGCTGAGCAGCCTCTGAAACATGCTGAGATCATAGAATGCTATATCTGCAATGCTGCATGCATTTGAAGTGTTCTTCTGCCATTCTCGGGTTTTGCATGATTACTACCCTCTTTAACTATGTTGAACTTTTTTCATTGCGATTGTGATGTTATAGCTTGCAATCAGTAGTAGGTTACTGGATAATTCTAGGTTGAGAATTGAGATATGTTCCTGAAGATTTCTCCAGCATGTTTGATGACGAGTTTGACTAATTACAGTTATTTCTTGGTCGATTTGCTTACTTGCTTGCTTGCAGACAATCTAGTTGACATTCCTGGTCTCTTGTATATATTGCAGTGTAGGTCTTTATTCCCTCGGTTAGTCAACTTCTTTGTTTTGTGAATCAACGCATACACACTGCCAAGTAAATGTTATAATTATCTTGCTCTCGGCTGCTTAGCCATTTGAATTGAGCTTCTGCGAGGGGCAAGGTAATGTCATTCAATATACATTCTAATTATAGTTCTGTTTGCTTCTGTGCGGTGGTTTGCTTTTTCCCATATTACTACTGAGCAAAAGCAGTTTGCTCGATTGGGGGCCCTTAATTGGGAGATGGCCACTATTTTATAATATTCTGATACACCTTGTCGCACTTCATTGGTGCATCGTTTGCAACCTTGACTGTGAAGTGCTCGATCTTTTCCTGCTCCTTCTTCAGCTATCTGACACGCTCCGGCTGCCTCGCGCGCGCGACCATCCTGCTCTTCATCACTACCCTCCGCCGTCACTCACCTTTACAACTTATTTTGCAGTGAACAACAGGGTGCACTTATAGATTCCGCTATGAGCCGGCTGTGGAGAAATCAAGGGTACATAACAAACTCATTGGTTAGCCCCATACAGGTGGCAGTAGGGTTTTAAATTCCCTTTTTTACTGATCAATACCATTCAGTTCAGTTCAACGGATATAATATGTTTGTTTTTTTAACAATATACTCGTAGTTTTCAAAACCAAAGGTTTGATTTACTTTTAATTGACTCAGTATTTGTGGGAACGTTTGAAATAATGTTTCTAACCATATATTCTATCTCCAAACCCCAACTAGTTACTGGAGATTTTTTGAATTTTGTACACTTATATATAATGTAGGGCAGCCCCTGTAGTTGTAAGGGAAACTTGTTATTTGTTTTTTTTTTCTTCTTCTTTGTTCAAACAAATTTTTTTTTCCAGTCCAATGGAAAACGTCAAAAAATCAAGCACCTCCAGGTTTTGTACTCACTTCTTTCTTTGTGCTTTACGTCCTTTCTTTTGGCCCTTGCATGTTCAGTTGTGTGATATCCATCCTCTTTGCCTTCCCTTCATGTTGTGCTTTTCACTAAAACCTTCACATGGCCCTTGCACGAAATTGTACATATTAGCAAGTGCCTTGTTTCAACTATCATAGCATTTAGAATGAAAAACAACGTGGACCTCAAGGCGACAAGAGTTTATTGTGAACTGTTTGTATGGTTGTTTTGCAGCATGCGTTAGGCTGTGCTTGGTTCATGTTGGTGTTGTTTTTCTCTTCGCCTGTATTTGACGTTGTTCCTTATGTTTCTATTGTCTCTTCCCATTATAGGAAGAACGAAAATAAGAAAAGTAACCCTGCACGATGTAGTCTGTCTTAGCAATACACCCCTCACTCCGACGAAAAGAAAGAACCAGACCAATTCAGCCTACGAAACAGGAGGCCCATAAAACCCTTCAAGGAGTACACAGTGGTTAATGAAACTCAAGGGGATGGTCAGGTGCTTCTATATGTAAATATGTTTTCTTAGTTCCCTTGCAATGGCATTTTCTACGGATTCTGAGATGTATTTGTTGCTGAAAATTTTGAAGTCCATAAATATTTCTCTTATCCTTTGGTGGTTGTAGCATCTCACTTTCAATCATAATTGACAAAGAAGCCTGATATTAGTTTTATATGACACAGGTGATCACATCTATGGAATTTTATATTCCAAAACACATTGACCAAAAATATGATGAACTCCTGGTAACGTGTTATACCTTTGGAAAAGGTCTATCGCTAGATGAAATGCTGGTTCACACTGCTGAAATTCAAGGTCAACAAAAGGCGTTCTTGAGTCTTTGTCTAGGGAATGCGGTAACAGATGAGGTGAGCTCTTTCCGTGAGTAACCTGATTTGACAGTTGTAATTGAACCTAATGCAATCTCTCTTTGGTATGTGTTCTTAGGTGTTGACAATGGTTTGCAGCTATTTAAGTCACAAGCAATTGCTGGGGGACAATGCGGAACTGAGTTTTTTGCCACCAGATTTTTTGGTACTGCTAACACCTATTCAGTTTAAAGTCCCCCTGATTGTGTGTATTTCATTTTGAGATTGAACTTTCATAAATTAAAGGTAACTCTTATGTCGCTGACAATTGTAGGCATCTTTGTTGGCTGGACATCTAACCCCTGAAAAAGCATTGGACAAGTACCAATTCTCGTTCCTACAGATTTCACCTAAGAGTAAAAAGGTTGTATTTTATTCTTTGTTTAATAAGTGTTGTTTCCATAGGTAGCATTGTAATCGTCCATATATTTACTTAGGTTTTTATCCCCTTGAAGGATGAATGTGACTGGTATTTGTTGGTTGTTGATATGAAATCCAAAGAAGCAGTGATTTTAGAACCATATTTCCTGGAAGATCGCATAGCTATTCGTGAAGAAGCTGTAACATTAGTGGTAATCTGTTTCAAATTGCCCTTTTACACTCTTTTTCATAAGCTTTATCCTGCATTTCACCCGTGTTCTACTGTAATACCCACAGCTGAAACTTTTGGACAACTTAGCTCCTCTTCTGTGCTCAGTGGATGGACAAATCCTTAAAATTTCAGATTTTGACATTATCAAACCTTATGGAGAACCCTATGCAGATGTGTAAGTACATATCATCTCAATTTTACTTCATATCGTGTAGTAGCGAATCGATTACACGAGAGTTAGTCGATTCACTGCTTTGTACTGGAATCTAATTCCAGTAGTGGAGTTCTGTGTTCATTGCCTCAGCGTTCTATCCTGGTGAAGTCTAGTCGTCTGCCGGGTAGTTTGACCGAGAGGGCTTGGTCAGCTTAAGAGATTCCAAGCTATTGTCGGATCTTCCGCAGTATAATCAACAGTAAAGCAACCAAAAGTAATTACAACTGTGACCTAACTAAGGAGCTAGGGGGACTCATTCCCGAGTGACTCTTCCTTTGTAACATCCCGTTCCGGCAAAATCCATATTTCGATCGCTAGAAAATTTCACGATTTAAAATCGAGCATTTCGACACTATTTCGGCGAAAATCGGATTATCGATCGATCGGATATGTATACGTATTAATTATATATATATATATATATATATGGTTCAGGCTAGCATACACCTGACGTACGCTATACACCTGCGTTCACAATTATAAATTAATTATAATTATAATTAAATTAGTTTAAACCAAATTAATTATAAATTATAAATATAATTGCAACCACATCCTTTAAAATATATTTTCCTACGTTTTAGTGCCATAAACTTCAACCAACATTATGCTTTTGGAATTTTTAGCCGAGTTAGAGGATTCCATGTGCAAAATACGAATAAAGAGACAAAACCCTCTTCATTTCTTTGCCGACCCTCTTCATCTTCTTCCTTCAGTCGACTAAATCCATACAAATCATCAAACAGAGAATGAAAAGAAACCAACGTTAACAAACTCGCGGCACTGCAGAGAATCTCAATTCCGCCAGCGAATCCAAAACCTGGAGTTAGGAATTCGATTCTATCACTAGAAGGGAAAAGTAATGCAAAGCCCATCCATCAAAATTGAAACCTTCCGTACTGTTTTTTTTTTATAAATGAAACCTTCCGTACTGTTGAATAAGAAACATCCGCAACATTTGTGTGAGGAAAAGAACGCATAACCAAAGGAAATATGCAGCGGCAAATGCATGGCGAAATCTCCATGGTAATAATACGAGAAACGAAAGTGGGAAAGCAAGGATTATTGGAATGACAAAACCCAGAGGAATCACAAGGTTAGGGATTGCGCCGGGATGAGTAAATCCAGATGACCGAAACATGTGCTTCATCTCCATCACCGCAGATGATTGGGATCTACGAAATCCCTACTCGAAACGCCAAAATTGAAACAGGGGATCAGGACTGCGCCGGGATGAGGAAACACAGAGAACCGAACACAAGCGCTTCATCTCCCTATACGATCGGAATCCATAAAATCCCTACTCGAAACGCCAGGTCCGGAACATGCGACCAGGAATGTGCCGAAATGACAAACCCCAGAGGAACGAACACAAGTGATCGGGATCCACGAAATCCCTCCTCGGTCAGACGGCAAGACGAATAAATTGGCGTTCCAAATCTCCCTCACTGCAGACGATCAGCAAAATCCCGGCGAATTTCGGCACCAGAATGACAAACCACAAGCGCTTCATCTCCTTCATCATACATGAATGAAATTGGCGTACTAGACCTCCATCACCACAAACGATCGGGATTGTGCCAGAGATGAAAGCGCCAAAATCGCTGCTCTACACAACACGTCGGCGCCTCCATTGGAAACCAGTCAAATAGGAACTTGAAAAGAATATAAAACGATGCCTCAAGTGTAATTTAAAAGTTTGGGTGTTTTAAATCTAATTTGAAGAAAGCATGCACTTTAATTCATATAATAAATATTTAAATGATGATTTAGACGTAACGATTTGTTGGGAAAAAAAAGAAGACATAACGAATGGTATAAAAAAGTTATGGGTGTATAGTGAAAAGGAAAATAAGTCCATGGATTTAATTGTAATCAATGATTAATAATAAAAATAATCATAATTAATTTAAAAGTAATTCATATATTAGTGTGAACGCAGGCGTACATCGTACGACTGACGTACGCTAGCCTTTGTCATATATATATATATATATATATATATATATATACTTGTCCATTTAATTCCCACCGCTCCATTACTTTTTCCATCTTCATCATCTTTTCATTTCATTAGCGAGAGCAAGCAGAGCGCGGGGCAGTTCAGGGGAACGTCGGAGGAAAATTCCCAAGCTCAATTCTTGAGCTCTAGTGATCCAAAAATCCCGTAAGTAATGCCTAATTCATCCATACATCGTGATTTATCGATTTAGAGCTTTAAAACGAGTTTTTGGTTCAGGAATTTCTTGAATTCCCAATAAGCCAAATTAGGGTTTTGGAGTATTCGGAAGCCGGATTGAGCCCAAATTTCATATACGAGCTTCCTGCAGCGAGGTAATCAATCCTCTAGTTCTAATCCCTGAATTTCGGCTATTATTTAGGCGGGGGTCCAAACCGCTGAATTTAGCTCCGGCTAGGGTTTGATGTGTTTTTATCGAGAATTTGACCCGGAGCCCAGAACTAATATTGACGGGGATACTACAGGGGATATTAGGACGGTCTCGGATTTTAATTCGGGGTTCGTTCGTGAAATTGACGTTTTAGTACGGGAAGGTTAAACCGGTGTTTGAACGACCAGAACTGGTGAGGGATTAGCACGGCATACCGGGTTTGTCGTATCACGATAATTATATTGATGCTTAGAATTGATCTAGGTGAACTAGAATGGCATGATTAGGGGTGTATGAACTTTGGTGCTATATGTTGAACCTTGGATTGCTGTATGATATTATTGACTTGCCCTAATCGATATGAACCTTGTTTATGCTGATGATTGTGTATATGTTGCAAATTGTGGGCTTGACTATTAATATGCTTTACGATGGTTCGAGAAGGTGATTAGGTATGATTTTTCATGATTGTTGTATTTGGATGCACAAGTGGGAAAATATATTTTCCTGGTGATATTATGATGATTAAGGAGGATGACTTGCATGAGGGTTTATCCCGAGGAAGTGCAATTATACGACTCCTGATTTACCTATGTTGAGCCAATTATGGCCAGGTCAAGTACATGTGCAAGTAATGAATTATGATTAAGCAAGATGAGATATGGATCATGTATAAGGATACCAAATATGAGTGTTGTGGTCTCATGGTCAACTACATAGTAATTAGGGCTCCCTATGCTATTACTCTATTATGATATGTATGATAGTCACCCCTCTCATGTGGTGGTGGCTGAAGAATTCTTACGAGATATGACCACACCCAGAGTGGTGTCGGGGTATGACTACACCCATAGTGGTGTGGGGTATGTATGACCACATCCGACGGGATGTTGGGGTATGTATGACTACATCCGACGGGATGTGGGGTATGTTTCCCGGGAGAGTTATTAGCATGGGAGTAGCCAGGCGCCTGTGATTAAAACATGATAAGATGCATATGCATAAGTCAAGGTGGTTGAGTCTTTTGCCTATTGGGATATGAGGATGGCTGAGGTCCGATCCTAGTGTTTTGGCTTGATTGTTAGATGTATGATAGGGGTATGCTCTGTTATGAACTCACGATGCTATATTTATCTCACTCAGCTATGAGCTGACCCTCTTTTATTCTTCTTCTCTGCTTATGCTATGTGTAAGCAGATCATCAGCAGCAGCAGTAGATAGGTGTATAGGTGGTAGCTGAGCAAGAGTTGAAGGCAAGATGAGGTATGGTCTTCAACCATTCTGTGCTTGGACTACTACTCGGGATTTTGGCCAGTGATCCACATCTTTTTGTAAAAATGTTTTGAGGACGTTTTTCATGTGCATACTAGCTTCTGATGTAGTGTGAGATATCCACAGGTGTGGAAAGTTGATGATATATGTATATGTTGTGTAACTGTGTAAGTTGTGACGATTATGGTATGTATAAGTTTGGTATGCAGATGTGTAGTATGAAACTATGACTAAGGCTATGAAAGTCCATGTATATGGTTGTTAGTATATATGTTTGTCATTGAATGCATGGATTCAGATAAATTATTTTGCAGGTTTTAGTTACAAGAACTGTTAGCCCATTACGCGAGTAATTCATGTCGAAATTTTATTTGGGTAAATTTTGATAATTAATGTAACACCCGAGATTATTTCCGCTGCAATTGTATGAACAATATGATTAGGTAATACGTATAGGGTAGGGTGTTACATCCTTTGCTTTAGAAAACCGAACCATTTCTTGCTTTCTTACTGCTTTTAGTTAAAATCACAATCACTCAACTTAGTTTGCTAGATAACAGATATACACGGAGTAGGCAGTAGATCTAGACCCCAAATTGACAATTAGAGCTTGCCTGTTACTGCATTTGTGGACTGCGATTACACTTGGTTGCAGTTTGGTGCTGTGTTTTTTTGATAAGGATGATATAGGTTTTATTTTGTTGTTATTAAGGTACTACTTAAGGGATTCGAACCAGGGACCTCCAGGTTCTAGGCTAGTGGTATTTCCATTAGACCAAACCCTTGTTCGTTGGTTTGTGTTTTAGCGTGTCAAGTTTTTGGCGCCGTTGCAGGGGACTTTCTAGAGTATTAGGAAAGGCAGAAGTTTGTTACTTTAGAGTTTTTCTTTTCTTTTCCACCCTTGCTTTTCACTTGGGTGTTTTTATTTTTGTTAGTGCAGATCTGAATCATGGATCCTCATGGCTTCTCTAATCATTGGGGGTATCCACCACCATCCGAGTGGTATTACCCCGAGACCCCCCTGGAGCAATCAAGGAGGAGAAGACTATGGATTCGGATTCCAGTACCAACCCCCTTACTACGAAGAACAATCAGACCCCTGGGCATATCAAGAACAATCTCATTACCAAGAAGAATTTCTCCCACAACCAGAAGGGCCATCGGAGCTGGAGTTACCCATGGCGGCCTTCACGGGCCATTCTGCAGAGCCATGCTACACTCCACAGCCAGATCCAAACTATGAATTGAGGCTTCTCATGGAGCATTTTGCTCGAGACAGTGAGAGATCATGGTCCAGGATGGA